TTTGGAGTTTTGGCTTCCTTCTTCATCATCCAAAGGTATAAAGCTCAAACCTTTATGGTTGTTTTGCTAGATCTCTTATTGGGTTCTTTATTGCTTCGTTCCTGGTCCCAAATGCTCCATTTTGAACATGGCATGTTATGGATGATTTGAGTTGTCCTTTCAGACCCTTAGAGGGGTCCTTAATAATAAAAATGAGGTCTCAATGGCTAGAAGTGTCCCATTCATTTGGTAGAAAGGCCTTAATTGGATAAGATCTTGTAAGAACTTTTGGACGTCTAAAGTCATAAAGTTGGAAACTTTATGACTCTAAGGTACATTTAAACCATGGATATGAAGTTTGGGCTTAAGTGCTTAAGGCATTAAGCTCTTATTGAAATTTGAACTCTACGAGGGTACGCCCCTCTTAGAAGGGAGTACGCCCCACATATGCGGTCAATGCCCCCGTTTCCAGTCAATGTGAGGCTCGTGTACGCCCATCGTAACTTTGGGGTACGCCCGGCGTACGCCTTCTGTTGGGCTTTTCGAGTTGCGCTTCGAATTTGGGCCATCTATGGGCCAGTTTGTCTTAGGCTTTTAACGGAATTTCTGAGTAGGTGTATTCTGGGCCAGTTAGGAGAATTGGACCTTAGGATGATGTCTATTAGGGAGTTGGGCCCAATTTAGAAAATTAGGCCAATTATAGGCCTTGTATATTTGGTCCTTTTTGGATCAAGGTTGGACTTAGGCTTTGGCCCAGATAAGGAAGAGTTAATGGACAATTATGAGTTAAGATATTTGAGGTGATAATCCGATTATTAATTGGAGGTTTATTTATTATGATAGTTCGAGGTTTTCGTGAGCTAGCAGTCGGAGGTTCTATTTGATAAGTCAGTGTGAGGTGAGTTTTCCTCATTATACCTATGGGTCAAAGGCACCAATACAAGCCCTTCTTGGATAGTTATCCTAATAGATAGATTATTGATATGTTGTCATGATCTGTTGGATCTGTATCCTGGTAGATAGGATGATGTTATGCTTATTGATCTATATGATTTATGCTTTCCTGTTAATTGATTATGTAGTTATGAGTTATGTATATGTCGACATGTGTGTATGTGGTTGGGTTGAGACAATCCTGCTTTGTGTTGTAGGCCAACAGACCCAGGGCTATCCGGATAGACTTAAGGCATACGAGGCGGTCCAGTCATGCCGAATGCCCAACAAGCGGTCCGGATAGGCTGTAAGCCCTACGAGGCAGTCCAATCATGTCGAAGGCTCGGGAGCGTTCCAGATTGCATGTCGATAAGATCTATATCAATATTAAAGTTATTAAAATCATTTGCGGATAAAGGACAAAAACCGAACCAATTCTTTCCTCCGCTCCCGACCCATATTAAAATCACCAAAATTGATAAACTCATCGTTATGTTGACGTATAAATTTAACAAAAAACATCCGCAAATCTTTCTTTTTTTGTCTATCTTTTTGAGAAAAAAAATTTTTATCTATCAAACATTTATCAAAAAGATACTCACTCGATTAACCACCAAGTCTAGGGATGAACTTTTGGACCGGAAAACTAGTCGGAACCAGAACCCGATGGAACCGTTCGGGTCGGGATCGGGAAGATATTCTTGTAGATTTTTGGAACCAGGAACCGGTAAGAACTGGAATCGGTAGAACCTGACCCGATAAAACCGGCAAAAACTAGAATCGTGTGTTGCTATTTCTCGATGACCGGTTCTAACATTGAAGACACTGCAAGAACCGGTAGGAACCAGTAGAATCGGCGGTCCGGTTCGGTTCTTAATTTCGGCCGACTTCGGTTCTCGGGTCGGGTCCAGTTCGGGTCGGTTCCAATCGGGTCGGTTCATTTGCTCATATGTAACCAAGTCTCTCTCCATAACAAGTAGATTATCTCGGGACATAAGTCAAGATTTTGAAAAAAAAACGTCAGATCCCAAACAATCAATAACCCCCTGATCTTCCCCAGTCAATAACACCCCCCCCCCTCCCCGATCTTTCGCCGGAGCACTTCAACTCGCTATGTTGAATTGATAATTACCCCACCAAAGATCCAACAAAAAAATTAATCAAGTTGTGTCATCTTAGTTTCCTGAATCCCCAAAACACTTACATCATCATGTACACAAACCCACCTTCTCTTCCTGACTTTTAATTTCACACAAATTAATGGACATTAAATTCATTTAACATTATTTAAATCACCTTTTCTTTCAATCATCTTGAAAATATCTTCCTTAGGCCATCTCCAATGCATTGAACTCTTAAGAGTTCAATGGATTGTCACATCAGCATTCCACTAACTATACCATTTAACCTATTAAACTCTACACTCCATTAAACTCTTAAGAGTTCAATGGATTTCCACATCATCATTTTAATTTTTTTATAAATAATAATAATAAATAAAACTAGAATATTACATTAATTAGAAATTCAAAGTTACAATTACTAAATATTAATTAAAGATTACAATTTAGAAATTAAAAGTTACAAATAATATACTAAATAAAAAGTACGATATCTAAAATACAAATTTTACTTCATATTGTATTTTATCTTAATCTCATCACAACGATTTCTCCAAATTTCACGTCCATCTTCCGACATGGTAGTGGGATCCATGAAAATGATTGAAATTTCATCATTCTTTAACTTTTCTTCTTTAATCTTCATCTTTCTTTCTTTCAATGCATTCTTCATATCCAAAGAGTTTTGATAGCGTTCAAAAGTCTTTTTATTTTCTTCTATATGTTTTTCAAGTATTTCATCAAGCCTATTACCAGATGACAAAGTGGAATTGGTAGCTTTCCCTTTTGCTGCTTTTTTTGTTGCATTCCTACCAATTGGACGAGTTGTAACTTCATTATTATCCAGGTTAATGAAAGATTATGTATTTGATAAAGACATAGATGCCCCAGATGCAGTGCTTGAACCTTTCCATTTCTGTTCATTTTTAACGATATTCCAAATATGTTCGTGCTTAAAATCGGCACCATATCTAGCATCATAATGCTCAAAAGTTGCACGTTTGAGATCATCCTCAGACCATCCACTGAGGTGTTGACTTTTCAACACTATATACATTTGATTAAATGCAACTACAAATGGGTTCATGTAATGCCAATGCGTTTTGAGGTTGGCTTGAGTTCTTGCAACGTTCGACGTGTTGCTTTTTTCATAGTATGTAGTAATTCGTCTCTAGAACTCTTTATCACGTTGTTGACTTCCAGTAATGCTATCTTCTGAAATTTGTAGCCAAGCTTTTGCCAACAACATTTCTTCTTCTTTGCTCCAGTAGGTTTTTTTATTTTTTTGTTTCAAATCTAATAAAACCTAATAAAACCACATGAAAAATAACAATTTACATAACACACTTTGGTAATTTTTTTTAAATCTGTTTAATTTTTTCTAAATAAAAACATATGGTAAATTTAATAAAAAAATTTGATATGTTTGTATTCATTTAAAACTATATTTTGTTTCAATATAATACTTTATTTATTTTTTTGACGTATATGGATTGATATAAAACACTAAAACTTATGGTTATGTGTTATTTTAATGTATTTAAATTTATCTACAACTTATTTTCATATATATTTTTAATGTTTGAACTTGTAAAATCAAATTCATAATTTATATATGTATGTATGTGTAAGAAAATAGAAAAAAACATGAAAAATATAGAAACTGGTTCATCCGGCGGTCGAACCGGTTGAAGCGGGAACCAATCATCATACCGGTTCAACTAAAAAAATGGTTTTTAAAACATTGGTTTGTATGATTATACAACTTCAAATTAAAGTATGGGGGGCTAGAGATGTTGGTTTGGATGGATCGGTTCGATCTGATCCAGTTAAGGAAATTCAAATTGATTTCGGTTTTCAAAACATGGATTCAAATTATCCAAACTAAATTCAACTCCGATCTGATCCAATCCAATTACAATTCAGTTTGATCGGTTTTTATAATTCAGTTTTCAAAAACTAAAACATTTTAAAACGATATATAATTATAATATTATCTAATTTTTATAGAAGAAGCAGAAACGCATTATTTAGTTGTTATTAAAATTTATAACCAACAACTAAGAAGATATATTATAATTTAACATTTAATAGATAAAAAACTTTTAAGAGAAAATGCATATTAATTTTATTTATTAGGTGAAATGTTTTGAACTTTTCTAAAAAAATAAATTAGAAATTTAATATATAACTATAGATATATAAAAATAAATAAATAATAAATTATTACTCGTTTTCTTTTCTTTTTTACTATTCAGTTCTTATTTTATAACCCAAAACCAATCTGAAATCCAAAATAATAACTCGGTTTCAGTGAAAACGAATCCAAACATCCGAATGTCTGAATTAAATAATCCAATTAAAATTATCCAATTAAGCAATTGAGTTTTATCTAACCCAGTGGGAGCAAGATTAGAAACCATATAGTCTTGCCATTGACAACCGTACATGCAAGGCACAGTTTATTTACGAATCCATTATATATACTTTAAATACATAGTATTTTATGTCAAAATGTTACACTCGATACTAAAAAACTAAATAACAAAATAACTCTCTCTCTCGCTCTAACTTTTTTTCTTTTCTGGAATTATGAATATCATGCTTTATTATCGTCGATTCATCTATGTCGATCTTAAATATATGATTCCACGTTGTGGAACTCTTAGACATTTCCCAAAACTTTTGAATTTTTCCAAACCTAAAAGAATCCATAAAAGTTGTTTCATAAATCATAATAATACTAAGCATTTTGTAAAGGGCCTCTTTGCAAAACAGGACCTCATTTTTGTTATTTGTCAAAAAAGTGGCCAAATTATTATATGGGCCTTCCTAGTTCGATCATTTTTGTGATTAACATTAACCCAAAACTAAAATTATTTAACTATCAATAACTTCAATATAATATTTTTTAAGCTATCAAAATCTTATTTTTATTAATATCATAACAATAATGAATTTGAAGACATACACACAAGCATTCAACATGATCCATGACTCCTTAATATGTCAATATTTATTATAAAAATATATATATTTACCATTAAACTAATATGTTATGTAGAGATTCAGCAAAGCAAGGTTTGTAGAATGTTGGTGTTGAGGTTGTGAAGAGATGTAATCTGGGCCACTAATTTGGCAATTAGCCCAATTACTCGATCCATATATAAAATGTAAAGCCCACATCTGCTTTCCAACAGCTGAAGCCCTTTCCGAGCATGGAGGATTGAAGTCACCCACTCTTCTAACAACTCTATATTATAGTATATGATATTATAATACTTACAATTAACCACATGTAATGTAATTAGCATGATGAAAATACATGCATACCTGAAGCAAATCCATCTGTCTTTGACCAACTTATAAGGTTATCTGATACCAAACATTCAATAAGCTGGATCCTGTTAACCACAAAGTATAATATTCTTGCTAAGTTATACAACATGAGAAACAAGAAGCATTTCATGATGCATTCACATAAATAATAATAATAATAATAATAACTTACAAAATGTAGAGACTGGTATGCATTTCAAAAAAAGCTGAATCAAATGGATCAAGAAACAGCAAATTTTCTGAGAGTAAAGAGATTCTTTGAGAAACTGCAAGAATCACTTGTTGTCCAACACATGATTCACTTCCAAGCTTACGAAGCAAATGCTGAACATGGAACTGGGCATTAGTTTCAAACTGATTATGAGCTTCTGAAACAGAATTAGTGAGTCAATCAGAAGATGATTTAACAAAGATATGAAATAATAGATGTATCCATAGATGTCTCTGATAATCTGATATGAACACATGTTTAGATTTACACATGTTTAGATTTACAGAAGGTTGTCTAACAATTATGTTGGAAGCAGTTGCATCACAAGACCTTTGGATATGGCATGCATATTTCGGGGTTGCCGGGTCTAACAATGATATTAATGTACTTAACCAGTCACCGTTATTCAATGATGTATTACAAGGTTATGCTCCTGAATGCAATTTTACTGTTAATGGAAGAACATACACAAAAGGATATTATCTTGCAGATGGTATATATCCTGAATGGACTATAATGGTTAAAAGTTTTCTACATCCGGCCGACCCAAAAAGGATCAAGTTTAAAGAAATGCAAGAGGCTGCAAGAAAGGATGTGGAGAGAGCATTTGTTGTTCTTCAATCTCGTTGGGCAATTGTACGAGGTCCAGCAAGATCGTGGCAACTTAAAAACATAAAGGATATAATGTATACATCCATTATATTACATAATATGATCGTAGAAAATGAAGGAAATGCAATTAGTAATTGGTCAGATGATGTTGATCCTCTTATACGTGTGAATCGAGGACTTGTCGAAGAGGTTCAATATCAAATTCAAAGAAACTCTGAACTACGCGATAATGTCGTACATCATGCTCTTCGACATGATTTAATGGAGCATATTTGGGAACGTTTTATTAATATGTAATATCACTATGTTGTATTATAATAAATAAGATGTTATCTTTTTAAAATGTTTTTAAGATTTATATATATTTTTTATTGTTTAGAATAAAAAATATGAAGTAACTTAATAAATTAAATTATTGAATATAAAATAAAATAAAGTATTATATATATATATATATATATATATATATATATATATATATATATATATATATATATTGTTTATTTCAAAAAAAATATTAAATATTACTTTCTATTGAGAAAGAAAAACAAAAAAAAAGTTTTTACAATAAAATGAGAAAAAAATATAATAATAAGTTTATATGATAAATTGAGAAAAAAAAAGATAAGAAAAACCATACCACGGTTGAATGGGATTAAATCTCTCATTCAATCAACTTATTCCACAATGTTTTCTATATTCATTCAACTGCTACATAGGTTTTCTTTTCCCATTAAACCCTCCAACGAGAGAAATCATATCAAGTATATTTCCATATTCCACGTATCTTTCCATCACCTCAATTAACAAACCTTGATTAATTTCCATATTTTTTTAGTTTTTTTAACCTTACCTTTACACCTACTAGAAGCAGCCGACGAATAGGAAGAATGTGTTGCTTTGGGTTCAGATATAAAGTTCAAAGGGGAATGAAATCTTTGACCTCCAAAACCGAGTGGTATTGATTTCGTACGTGAGTCACTTCCAACACCATTACCCATAAAATCACCTCTTTTTTCAGCCCAAGTCCCTCCTACATACATGATCTCAACTTCTTGAAAGCCTTCAACACTACAAATATGATAGTTCTTGCATCTCTTACATTTCATAGAACAACCCTAAAACTGTCTTCCACTGCTTTGAAATCACCTACCCCCAGCGAGACTTTTCTCATAGATTCCCCCTGCTGCTATCTTGCTTCCACCATTTTTCCTTGAAAAACCCTAGCATAAGAATCCCCATGCATAGGAATTGTTGCATGCGTGTTTGCACCTCCCTTGATGTCCATCGTATTCAAATACCTCACAAAAGGAAACCTCTTCCCTCTTTGATAATTTCTTGGCAATATACACATCCTATGCTTTCCCATATACTTCGAATGTCTTCCATAATCTCTTCTCATCAAAATCCTTGGGGAAATTGGTCACACCAAGAATGTCACAGATAACTTCTCGACACTGTTGTGATTATTTCCTTTCCCCTATATAGACTTATTTCCAGCTTTCCACTCATAATCCTTGTGTCATCAAAAATCACTGAGATCGTAAATAATTTGATCGGAATTAAGGATATTCAGGCGTCTGAACCCGCCGAGGAAAAGAACGCCGAGAATCTTGCTTTCATATTGAGTTTAATAAATTTATTATAACAACAAATATTGATTATTCTCCTTGATTGTGTATGCAAATATCGTTATTAATATCATGAATGCACATTGATTACTCGAGGATTTGTGACATATATCCCCATATTAGAGTTGATAGACTATTGGGCTCGATTTGTGACATATATCCCCAAGTCTCAAGCCTGAGGCTCACTTTTCGTGAGACTTATCTGGTAGTGATTAGGGTTTAGGTTAGGCCTAATCACTAATATTATCGGTACCTTCGCTCCTCTAACATATTGTAATGTTTGTGTTTGTATCAATGTTTTAAAAACAGGTTTGAACTGGCCGGTCGAACCGGTTGGACCGGGAACCAGGAGAGGGAGCGGTTCAACTATCACTGGTTTTACATTGATTTCTGAACCGGATTAAACCGCCGGTTTTTAGAAAAAACCTGTTGAACCGGTAAAAATAAACCGGTTAAATAAAACTATATTTTGTTTCAAATCTAATAAAACCTAATAAAACCACATGAAAAATAACAATTTACATAACACACTTTGGTAATTTTTTTTAAATCTGTTTAATTTTTTCTAAATAAAAACATATGGTAAATTTAATAAAAAAATTTGATATGTTTGTATTCATTTAAAACTATATTTTGTTTCAATATAATACTTTATTTTTTTTTTGACGTATATGGATTGATATAAAACACTAAAACTTATGGTTATGTGTTATTTTAATGTATTTAAATTTATCTACAACTTATTTTCATATATATTTTTAATGTTTGAACTTGTAAAATCAAATTCATAATTTATATATGTATGTATGTGTAAGAAAATAGAAAAAAACATGAAAAATATAGAAACTGGTTCATCCGGCGGTCGAACCGGTTGAAGCGGGAACCAATCATCATACCGGTTCAACTAAAAAACTGGTTTTTAAAACATTGGTTTGTATGATTATACAACTTCAAATTAAAGTATGGGGGCTAGAGATGTTGGTTTGGATAGATCGGTTCGATCTGATCTAGTTAAGGAAATTCAAATTGATTTCGGTTTTCAAAACATGGATTCAAATTATCCAAACTAAATTCAACTCCGATCTGATCCAATCCAATTACAATTCAGTTTGATCGGTTTTTATAATTCAGTTTTCAAAAACTAAAACATTTTAAAACGATATATAATTATAATATTATCTAATTTTATAGAAGAAGCAGAAACGCATTATTTAGTTGTTATTAAAATTTATAACCAACAACTAAGAAGATATATTATAATTTAACATTTAATAGATAAAAACTTTTAAGAGAAAATGCATATTAATTTTATTTATTAGGTGAAATGTTTTGAACTTTTCTAAAAAAATAAATTAGAAATTTAATATATAACTATAGATATATAAAATAAATAAATAATAAATTATTACTCGTTTTCTTTTCTTTTTTACTATTCAGTTCTTATTTTATAACCCAAAACCAATCTGAAATCCAAAATAATAACTCGGTTTCAGTGAAAACGAATCCAAACATCCGAATGTCTGAATTAAATAATCCAATTAAAATTATCCAATTAAGCAATTGAGTTTTATCTAACCCAGTGGGAGCAAGATTAGAAACCATATAGTCTTGCCATTGACAACCGTACATGCAAGGCACAGTTTATTTACGAATCCATTATATATACTTTAAATACATAGTATTTTATGTCAAAATGTTACACTCGATACTAAAAAACTAAATAACAAAATAACTCTCTCTCTCGCTCTAACTTTTTCTCTTTTCTGGAATTATGAATATCATGCTTTATTATCGTCGATTCATCTATGTCGATCTTAAATATATGATTCCACGTTGTGGAACTCTTAGACATTTCCCAAAACTTTTGAATTTTTCCAAACCTAAAAGAATCCATAAAAGTTGTTTCATAAATCATAATAATACTAAGCATTTTGTAAAGGGCCTCTTTGCAAAACAGGACCTCATTTTGTTATTTGTCAAAAAAGTGGCCAAATTATTATATGGGCCTTCCTAGTTCGATCATTTTTGTGATTAACATTAACCCAAAACTAAAATTATTTAACTATCAATAACTTCAATATAATATTTTTAAGCTATCAAAATCTTATTTTTATTAATATCATAACAATAATGAATTTGAAGACATACACACAAGCATTCAACATGATCCATGACTCCTTAATATGTCAATATTATTATAAAATATATATATTTACCATTAAACTATATGTTATGTAGAGATTCAGCAAAGCAAGGTTTGTAGAATGTTGGTGTTGAGGTTGTGAAGAGATGTAATCTGGGCCACTAATTTGGCAATTAGCCCAATTACTCGATCCATATATAAAATGTAAAGCCCACATCTGCTTTCCAACAGCTGAAGCCCTTTCCGAGCATGGAGGATTGAAGTCACCCACTCTTCTAACAACTCTATATTATAGTATAATATTATAATACTTACAATTAACCACATGTAATGTAATTAGCATGATGAAAATACATGCATACCTGAAGCAAATCCATCTGTCTTTGACCAACTTATAAGGTTATCTGATACCAACATTCAATAAGCTGGATCCTGTTAACCACAAAGTATAATATTCTTGCTAAGTTATACAACATGAGAAACAAGAAGCATTTCATGATGCATTCACATAAATAATAATAATAATAATAATAACTTACAAAATGTAGAGACTGGTATGCATTTCAAAAAAAGCTGAATCAAATGGATCAAGAAACAGCAAATTTTCTGAGAGTAAAGAGATTCTTTGAGAAACTGCAAGAATCACTTGTTGTCCAACACATGATTCACTTCCAAGCTTACGAAGCAAATGCTGAACATGGAACTGGGCATTAGTTTCAAACTGATTATGAGCTTCTGAAACAGAATTAGTGAGTCAATCAGAAGATGATTTAACAAAGATATGAAATAATAGATGTATCCATAGATGTCTCTGATAATCTGATATGAACACATGTTTAGATTTACAGAAGAGAAAAATGTTTACCATTTCCTTGTGATGTGGTGCACATTTTTTTGACTAAACGTAGTGACAAGGTGCCAACAATCCCTTCAACATGTTCGATGCTTGTTCCCTTGGACAAAATATTCTTGATTGCATCTTCAGGGAAAGGACAAAGAGAAGATCATAAGAATAGAGCATAGGTTTTAAATGGAAATATGTAGGGGTTGACTTCAAAATGAAACAAAAGGAGATACCCAAAATGAAGTCTACAGCTTGGTGGGACCAATTTGCAAAATTAGCATCATCTGGCTGCAACAATAGCACATGCAGAAAGTAAAAGGTTGAAGATAAGACTTGCTTCACATAGTCGGTAGAATAAGAAGAATGAAAAATGGGAAGAATTCAATTAATTAGCAAAACACTCTTACAGAAGATATAGTATCACATAACTCCACAAGAAAATCAACTGAAGCCCTAAGCTGTTCAATCTCTTCATCATTATGCTCTGTAAATGCAAACGGTATACACAATCAAGTTGCATTTTCCCGGAGTAATAAGATAATGGAAAGTTAAATAACATACGAAAGCCCTAAATTAAGAACATAATTTGGATGATAATGGTAAGAATCTATTACCAGACCAAAATGATCCTTGTGTGGAACTGGAACCCTCACTTCTTCTTTTTCTTCTTTCCTTCAGTCTCACTGCAACAATAATTCCAAAATTGTTTTACAAAAGATACAAGTACACACACACATAAACACAAAGAACTAATCACATATGTATAAAACCTTGTCTAAGAAATCTACGGCGTAAGACATCATTGAATCTCCCATCAAATCCCTCTCCTGATGGCGGATTAGGATTCAATTTCCCTAAATTTTCAAAGAAATAGCATTTGCAGGATGCACTCCCCGTGAATAATTCATGATGTAATCCATCTGCATAAGAGACAGATGAAATTTTTAGATAGAACACTTACATTATACGCATATAGAGAAGAGAGAGAAACCTTCAACTTCTTCGAGATTTTTTTTTAGTCTGAAAATCTCTTGTTTGCGCTCTTTCGCCTGAAGAGATTTACAAAGAGAATTGCTAAATTTTGACCTCATAAACACGTTGTATTAATAAGTTTGGTTAGAATTATAAATTAATTCGAAGTTGACTTCGAATCAGTTGATGAATGGGATATGAGGAAATGTACCTTGCGTTTCCACTTGATAGCATCAGAACTCGAGGTAGCGGATGGAGGATGAGGAGTTTCAGAATGATTCTTCGGGAATTTGGAACGAAGAAGAGCTATGGCTATGGCAAGCTTCAACGATTCGTCTGAACCGGCGGTGGTTTCCGACGCCATTCCCCCCTCTTTGGCTTGCAGCAGATGGGCGGGAGCTCTGCAGTTATACCAACGACTAATCTTCAATTGAAAATCCATCCCTTCTTATTGTTAGTTTTAGAGAGTAAATTACATGGTGCTTGGTTTGGGGTAATTTATGCATTAGGTCCCTAACTAATTTTTTTAATTCGGAAAGTTCATACTGTTTGTTTTTGTTACGCGTTTGGTCCCTACTGTTTGTTTTTGTTACGCACTTGGTCCCTATCTTACCTAAAAATACTATTATTTAAATAGGGAAAAATAGTGGGATAAGTAAGTAAGATGGAGGGAATAGAGTTCGGGATGTGTTTATTTAAATAAATTAAAAAATCAATGAAAAAATAGTCTTTTTAGGTAAGAAAAGGACCAAACGTGTAACAAAAACAAACTGTAGGAACCTTTCGAGTTAAAAAAATAAGTTAGAAACCAAACGTGCAAATTACCCTAAACTATAGGGACCATTCGTGTAATTTACTCTTAGTTTTATTTAAATAAATTTAATGTTTGTTTACATTAAATGGTTATCTTTAATTGTTTATCCTAGATAAAAATAATCACACTTCTAGAAAATGTTAAAATAATTTGTTTTTATAGGGTACCAGATGGATTGAAAAGAAAATTGAAAAAGAATATATATATATATATATATATATATATATATATATATATATATATATATATATATATATATATGCAAAGTTATTAAAACATTTGATTTTCCAAAATAGGTTAGAAAGTTCAAACCATATAATATTAGATCATCAATTATACACATCACTAGCCAGTATAATGGTAGATATCAACTTATCATCACATTCAACCACTAAAATGTTTTGATACTTACCGTTATATCCTTTTTATTTTTTCATTATTAAAATTAAAAAAAAATAATTAATATGTAGAGAGGTAGAGAGATAAAGAAAGAAAAAATCTATTAAATGTGGTGGTTCATCCTCTCCATAAACTTCATTACCCATCAAAACCAATGTCATAAAACATCTCCTCCCATAAACTCGTAGTGGGTGTGGTGTCCTCCACCCCCCAAAATTCATTACCCATCAAAACCAATGCTATCTGTATTTTCTATTTTTTTCATTTGGTATTACTTGTAATAAAGGTATTGAGATATTAATGTTTTGTTATACATTGCATTAGTTATTTAATGTTTTATTCCATAAAACGTGAATCATATACAAGTGAGAACGCACTATTTACCATTGCTTTTCTTTTAATTATAATTTCAGATTCAGTATATATTATTAAATTAAAAAGCTTGCATTTACCATAAATACCCAAAACATAGTCCAATGATTTAGAACGAAATAATATGATATAAGTCTTTATTAATTTGAGTCATATGTTCAACAAAGTTTTCACATCTCTCTAATCTTCTTTTATATTCTTATTCAATCAATATGTCTCGATATATCTTTGTGTATACATCGACATCTTTAGTATGACATTCACATCATGTTTTTAACTTCCATTTTTTTGAGTAGTTCTCTTCAAAAATGGAGAAATTATGTTGGATCCATTAAAGTATTAAACTCAACTTGTATAATTCTTGTTATTCATACATTAGTACGGTGAATTGGATGATAAGGTTTATTGATTTATTCATTCATAGAAGTTGATAGATTTTTTAAATTAAAAAAAGACATTGATATTGTATATTTTACAACTTATCAAAATCCATCCAATAGCCCTTTATTTAGATAATTCAAGAAATTAATAATCTCCTTTTATATTCTTATTCAATCAATATGTCTCGATATATCTTTGTGTATACATGGCATCTTTAGTATGACATTCACATCATGTTTTTAAGTTCTATTATTTTGAGCAGTTCACTTCAAAAATGGAGAAATTATGTTGGATCCATTAAAGTATTAAACTCAACTTGTATAATTCTTGTTATTCATACATTAGTACGGTGAATTGGATGATAAGGTTTATTGATTTATTCATTCATAGAAGTTGATAGATTTTTTAAATTAAAAAAAGACGTTGATATTGTATAATTTACAACTTATCAAAGTCCATCCAATAGCCCTTTATTTATATAATTCAAGACATTAATAAATTAAAGAGAAAATAACAAATTTAGCCAAATATACTAACTACTTTGTGGAAAATAGCTAAAAAACCTGAATTGCAAATTTGGCCACCGAAATCGCAGATAGGAATGGTCCATCTGGGATTTTCACATCTCATCTATAAATGTACAAGTGGCTAAAACACAGACACTTGTACATTCGCAGGTGGGATATTTTTTTTAATTTTTTTTTGTATATATAGGGTTTATCAGGCTAAAATTGTATATGCAATTTGCTCTCTCTTTGATCTGCGGTTTTATGTTTTTTTTTTTTTAATTTTTTTTTACTATGAAATCAATGGGTTTGATTATGAAATAGCTTTAATATATATAAACTTTTGTAGAAAATTATTAGTTTACTTGTTATTTCTTTAGGAAATTTCTTTAAAATCTCTCTAAAAAATGATTGAATATTTGGTTTGTCTTGTAACTAGTGGGAGATGGCAAGTTATTAAAACAAATCTAGAATACGTATGTCCACAGGGAGGTATTTCTGAATTCGCTTTAATATTTTCTGAGTATATTAGTTATAGTGATTTTCTATCTTTGGTGATAAACAAAATTGGTTTGTTAGACAAATATACAATTAGTCTTTGTTTCTATAGTGACATAACATGGTTTGGCATGCGGAATTAAAAATTGCACAATGAACATGGTGATTTGGGTGTTCAAGAGATGTATTGAATATGTATGGTGTTACAAGAAGGGACATAGATCTACATCTACATAAATAACACACACTTACACACTCACTTTTACACTTCTCAAGCACACCTCTACAAGTGGACTAAACCCACCTTATATAGAGGTGTTTACATATATCTCTCTCACTCTCACTAACTCATGGGTCAAAAGGCTAATGCACCACATGCAAGTGGGTTTTACAAAAGTCAACACATTACAAAGTCAAACGCGAATAACTTTGCACCCCAACATTCTCCCCCTCAAAGTTAGGAATGGATGACCAACTTCAAATCTTCCAAAATTGAGCAACTACGCGATCCGAACCTCAAGGGTCACACATATCGAAGCAAACTTCAATCTTCAATTCTTCCATGATTCTTCAATTTGAGCTCTAGGATGTGAGATCATACACATCGAGCATCAATGAATGATCATGAGCTTCTCAAACTCCAAATTGATCACCAAAAGTTGAGCATAAAAACACACCCTGGAAATCTTCAATAAAACCAAACCCATTTCGAAAATAAATCATTTCCGAACTTCCAATTGCATCATTTCGTAAGCTTAAAAAATTCAAGGTCACTTCGGTATTCAAATCCGCGTAATATGAAAAATTCAAGTTGGAATTTCCATATAAATTTCTCCCCCATTTTATAATCGAAATTTGATTATAAAACCTTCAAGGAAAGAGAACGTGCTCTATTAGGAATATTTCGTGTCAAAACTCCCCCTTAACATGTGGCATAAACTTTGTGCTTTAATCCGGAAAATCCAAAAAATCTTCAATTTTTATCATCGTTCACGGATCACCTTTGACAAAATTTCTCAAAAATGGGTATAAATTGTCAATTTCAAAATTCTGCAGAGACTCGGTGCGCCCAAAACAGTAAAAAATGCAAACCTCTCCCCCTTTTCCGAAACTGGGTAGAAAGCGTCAATAAGCATAAACTGCAAGGACTTGAAATGTATTTTTTTTTAATTTTTCAGCAAAATCAGTCCTTTTTCGAATTTGGTTACGCACCGCCAAATTTTTGAAACCTTAGAGACTAATTTCGAAACTTCTTGAAATGATGTCCCAATCATACGAAGAGTTGTCCCAACATGCGAAGATGGATACAATGTGTCACACTTTCGAAGATATAGGGTCTAATTTCGAAAATTCGGCACCACAATTCAAAGCATACGAAACTTGCTCAAATTTACGAAATTTCCTCCTTAATTCGAAACGGGTGAAAAGTGACAAACATGTGAAGTGTCAAGGGTCATATACAAAACTTTATGTTTTCTTATTCATCTACATGTCGTATCCAGTTACCCTTTGCACAAAATCTTTCTCTCCCCTTCGTTAGATTCAATCCATTACCCCTTCGTTAAAAGAACAAGGACCAAAATCAATAGCCATTTATGAATGAAACATTGACCATCACAGGGACCCTTCGTCATCATGATTTCATGTTTCCGTTAACACATCAAGTATATCCATTTACACCAAACCTTCGTTTTTCGAACATTAACCCAAACCAAGATCAACAGTGTATCCTTTACTCTAAATCATTGACTTTTGCTTCAAATTAATCAATCAATTCCTAAGTCGTCATTAACCCGAGCCTTCGCATCGACTCCAAACTATTCGTTAGTCCTAGATCATCAAAGCCTTCGTCCTTAAAAAAAATCTTCGTTATTTCCAGTCTAACCATTCGATCATTCGTTCACAATCCAAGGTTCGTTTGTCCCCAAACCAAATTATCAATCAATGATATGAACAATCGATCACAGTTCTTCGTTATCAAAACTCAACCACCATTCACTTCGAAATCAAAGACACAATTCCAGCCTTCGTTATTTCATTCATGAACACAGATAACAAAGAAAATCATCGATTCCATACACTTTGATTCAAACTCCTACTCCTTCTGATTTTTACTTTTAGCTTTGACTATCCGATCTTCATCCATTATCGACTTCCAGTCTCATACCATCCAATTTCAAGCTTTCAACTTATTGAATCCAAAATCAATACCAACACACTTTCGAATCAACATCAAGAAAAACCAGTTGACATTTTATTCTTGATTCCAAGTCAAAACAGTTGCACAATGAACATTGATTTTGAAAATTCATCTCATCTTTGACTTTTTCGAATTTGTCAACCAACTCACAAATTGAAAACTTTAAAGTTCAAGTTCAGATCATACATGCTATACCAACAGATCTTCATCACTTGTGCATCATGTTTTTGTCCAAGATTTATAAAAGCTCAAGATTAATTTTCGATTTCATAGTCTAGATATGAACAAACCCGATTTCATCATATACAAATCATCTGAAAATCAATTTCTAAGTTCAGATTAACAGTCAATAACAATTGATTATTAAGAACGATGAGATAAAATCGGATATCACAGATCAATCGATGAATAAACGATCAATTGATGGAAAACAAACTTAGATGTTTAGACCAGAATGTACAACCATGTAAAGCTTGTGTGTATCAATTGGCTTACGAATCCATACATATGTGAATGGGCTTGTGATGATCCGAATACAAACTCTTTAGATTGCAGATTGGGCTTTAACTTTGATTAAAACATGAACAGTAACTGAATTTTACTTTTGGGCATAATTTGCTTAAAGATATTGGATCGAAAGAAGTTTTGGACTCAATGAAATATGAACAGTAAAGGATTCAAAATGGATCGAATACAAACTATGGGCTCAATAATGGAGGATGAACAGTAACCATTAGCTTGATATCAAATTTAATACAATATGAATTTTGGGCTAAATCTTGATTCAAACAAACAATTTCAAATTGAAAATCAAAACGAGCAAACGAATATAAGATTGTATCAGGCTTTGATCAATGAAAAATTATTGGATCACAACAAATGGGTTTTTCAAGAAAAATTTGATCCAACGAGTCAAATGATCACAAATCAAAAACGCAACGCACGAATTCAATGAAATTGAGAGAGATCATAGAGAGTGACTCGCCAAAATTGCTCCAATTGTGATAAATGCTGCCAAACTGAGAATCGTTCTTCAAAAATCATGTTGATCTTGAAGACCCGCTCTTATACCAATTGTAGTGACATAAAGAACATGGTTTGGCATGCGGAATTAAAGATTACATAACGAACATGGTAATTTGGGTGTTCAAGAGATGTATTGAATATGTACGGTGTTACAAAAAGGGACATAGATCTACATCTAACTAAATAACACACACTTACACACTCACTTTTACACCTCTCAAGCACACCTCTACAAGTGGACTAAACTCACCTTATATAGAGGTGTTTACATGTCTCTCTCTCACTCTCACTAACTCATGGGTCAAAAGGCTAATGCACCACATGCAAGTGGGTTTTACAAAAGTCAACACATTACAAAGTCAAATATGAATAACTTTGCACCCCAATAGTTTCCGTCATCCTGAATTGAATTATTATATAGCCATAGTTGAAGACATGGATGTTAGAATGTTGATAAATGTAATCAAATGTAGTGGAGGATGGGTTGTGAAAGTGTTTATAATTGTTGATGAAGGAGATAAGGTTAATGAGGCTGTTCAGAGTGGAAATCAGCCGGTTGGTAATTTATGCAGCTATAAAGGGAGAAACGATCCGATAGGTACTTTCAATACTCCTAATGTACCTCAATTTCACAGTGTTGCTGAAAATGTTAATGTTACTTATTCACCTATTCACTATGTGGATCCTGAGAATTACAAGTATGTTGGTGATGATGATATTGGTACATATCTTAATGACGTGGGTGGTCGTTGTGTTGATGTTCCTGAACAAGAAGTTAAAGTTATGAATAGGCATGTAGCAGATAAAAGTAAAAAAGAAAAAAATATATATGCATCAAGAAGATGAAAAAAGTCATGTTTACGGGGATTATGTTGACGTTGCTGATGTAGCTTTAGATATAACTGACTTAGAAAGCAATTCAGATGGAGATGAGTTGGGTGATGAAGTTAAAGCTAAGTTTCCCGATAACCTTTTTTACGGTATGCCCTCTCTACCAGCATGTCCAGTTGATATTAATGAATATATCCCAACACAAATGGTAGACATCAATCTTCAAAAGATTGAATGTGAGAGTATATTTCAGTACTAGAAAAACAGCCTTTTACGACGCTCATTGTGTGTCGTAAAAGGCTCAGACGACGCGCAAATGCGCGTCAACGAAGGCCCTGTCATAAAGAGAGACGACGCGCATATACGACGCTCATTTACGATGCGCAATTACGATGCACGTTTACGACACGCAATGCGTATCAAGGAAGGCCCTGTCATAAAAGAAGACGACACGCATTTGTGTGTCCTAACCTTACGACGCGCGTGTTAATGACACACAATGCGTATCATTAAAAGCCCTGTCAAGAAATGCCATGTCATAAATGAAGATGACACGCATTTTTGCGTATCGTAAATTTAAATGTTTAAAAAAATATATTTATATATTTATTAATTTTTAAATTAAATTTGCATTTAATGTCTTATAATAGAAATAAAATACCATATTCAAAAAATACAATCTATTGCATAAAATTTAATGTCATACAATTCTATTTCTTACAATATATAAATTAAATTTACATTGTTATTAAGAGGTATCCCTAACAATATAACCTAATACTACATTGCTATAAAGGGGCACCTTCTTGTTTCAGTAACTCGTCATTAAGCTGTCTGAAGAAGCTCTAAAATGCTTCATCATGTCTCTTAGCTTCAATATCAATCCCAAATTGGTCACGAAGAATTTGGTTTCTAGCATTCAACTTATCTAAACTTTTTTCAACATGTGATTGTGAACCAATAATACCCTCACTATCTTTTGCCTTCAACTCTTCAAGCATCCCAATGTTCCAATCATCATTAAATCCAGCATCCCAACTTTCCTATAAATCATAATAAATGAAATAAAAGAGAAAAAAAAAACATGAAACTAAATACCTAAATTTGTAAGAACTGATGATATTATTACCTCAACTGAATGATGGTCTTGAAATTGTTCTGAATCAAAACTTTCCTGTAAATCATAAGAAATAAGATAAAAGAGAAACTACCATTTATGTCTTTGAGAAGTATTTTGATTTGTATTTATGAAATACCTACAAGATTTGGGGATTAGCCTGCACCATGGCTCGAAGTGCTTGAAACTGGAACACTAATATAAATTATATTTTTATTTATTGAGAGAATTAATAATTAATATGTATGTAGATATGGTTGACTAGTTTATAAATAAATAAATAAACAAATAAATACCTGTGGACTGTTACGTAGAAAATCCAAGTTGCCAGCAGCACCAACAGGAGCATTTGTGCCCATGTCAGGAAGTCCTTAGACCAAACATGACAAGTTTACAATCTATAGGGTCTAAAACAAAAATTGACAAACTGAAAGTCAAAACAAAATACTGAATACCTAAGGGAAGAGATCCAAAGGGTTTGAATTTGGTCCACTTGGAGGAACAACTGTAGCTGGCGGGGGCTAGGCAGCCTGCAGACCTGGCAGTGGTGAAACTCCGGCAGTTGGCGGGAGTTCTGTTGGCTCCGGTAAAATTATAAATTTAAAATGTTTTATATTTAATTATTAATAGAAAGAAATTGAAGGAGTTTAGGCTTACACAATAGAGATATTTAACAACTTTTTCTGGATTATTGAAAGCAACACAAAGAGCACGAACAACTGTATCCCTATCCCAGTTTCCTCCTCCCATATCAAGAAGATGTTAGAATTGTACCTTCCAAATTACTTGATCGTATACATCCCCGGTCCTAAATAAAAAAAATAAACATTATCACTCATTAATAAATAACAAGGACTTATTGTATTTTATAATTAGGTTATGAGAGAAATGCTGAGGTGGTATTCACAACATGTGCTGGATCGGAAGCTGGAGGAGAAGACACAGGCTTGGAATTGTAAATTTCACATACATTCATTTATATACATTTACATACTGCTTTTGGCTTCTCTACTTCCTTCCTATGAAGTAAGGTTGCCATTAATAGACCTAAAACAAATTAACTCATGTGGACATGGGCTAGACCTTCTCTGATATATGTCCAGAAAGCACAAGGTCATGCATGATTAGCAACAACACATAAAGGTCTAGGAGCATAGATTAAAAAAAAGAGGTAGCAAGATGAAGTAGAAAGGAGAAAAGATTAATTACAAATGACCCCAAAATGATGCCAAATACTGAAGCCAGTCTGATAAGTTTAGGCCTCCATCTTTTAGCTTCTCACAACCCCCTTGTACAAGCCGCTCAATCACAACATATTCCAAAATATCATACTCAAGCTGTAGAGAAAACCACCAGACCACAATTCAATTCCTTTTCAAATATCACACGCAATAAGAGAATCTTAAACATCCATCAGAGGCATCAATAGAACAAAATCACCACCACCACCACATGGAATCTGGTGGCATGCACAAATATCATATGTATTATGCTACTGTAAAATCAAACAATTACCTCCACAAGAACATGATGCTTCAACATGAAGATTTTGATACCAAATACCAGTCAGCAAAATACATAATGCATTCACACACTTCAATCTACTGATCAACTAGGAAAGCATCCTGATATACATATCACAAATTGCCAGGAATCGTTACTAATTTTGCCACCATTCTTCCAAGCTGTTTTAGATACTTAATGCCTTACAAGCAAACCTCATGAAAGCAATAGGTACCTGGTGCACAATTGTTTTAAGAACAGTCGTGGGATTCGCATGAGATAATTTTGCCACCATTCTTCCAAGCTGTTTTAGATTTTCCTTTGCAAGCCGTTGCAAGATCTGTCTAGTGTCCAACTGTATTTGCAGATTAATCTAGAATGATCAAAGGAAGAAGGGACAATGAATCAAATTTTATATGTTGCTCAATCAGGGATAATAAGAGCAAAGCAAATAAATTGATGTTTGTTTTTTAAATAATAAATTAAATTAGCCTTTTGTCAATCCCTTTTTCTCTTCTTCAAACTCTCTGATCTAGTAGTGATCATAAAAAAATAATAATAAAACCTTTAAAATAACAATATGTAGAAACTTTTGTGAAATAACAGTTTTGGGATTCTTGAGCTGCTTGTTTCGTTGAGAGTTCTTCGCTTAAATGAACAAAGATAAATGTTTTATCATATTGATTATGTACTAAAATTGCTAGTCATTACCTTCTTCCATAACTTTAGTGATGATTTCATCCTTTTCCTTGAGAAGAGCATCATCATCACTCTTTTTATTTTGCTCTCTACGTAGGGTATCTCTTTCCCTTATGAGAGCATAAACCTGCCAATATAAGGATTTTTTTATCCATCAACAAGTGATATTTTAAATATTTTATCTTTCTCCTTAAACCAGTTGGATGAATAAATCTCTCATATTTTGGAGGTTTTCTTGTGAAACCTTGTCCAACAAATGTCACTTTTGTGATCATCCTCTTCCATTGTTTCGCTTCAATCAATCAACGTAACTTATTTGCTTACAAACAAAACAGATGAAGAAGAAGAAGAAGGGTAATATATTCAAAATACTCACTTTTTCTTTTCCCAGTTCTGATCACTTTGAACATCTCATCTTCAGCCACAGGTCTTACCTTGGGTAAAGGCACGTCCCACTTTCCTGCTTTCTCCTTTCTTTTTTGTTTTACTGGGTTGCTAAGAATCTGAATGTTTGTTAATTATATTATATAGGAGAAGAGAAGAAGTGTTTTTGTTTATTAATTTAAAGGAAACAAACCTTTGCACGTGTTGTGGTTTCACGATCAAGAAGATAGGCAGGAAGAACACCTTCCTGAACATCATCATCCACCTTGCGTGTACTTGATGATTCTTCATGCATGGCCAATCTATTATGTTAACACACTTACAGCTTAGAAGGAGCAAATAAAAAGAAATTGATGCCATAAGATTATAATGAATGATAAAAGTAGAGCATAGATACTAACGTCTTCTTCATTTGAGCCTTTTCTACATATCGTTTCTTAGCAAACATCTTACCCTTGATTCCTAAAGCCTGGGTCAACCATAAAAGAAGGACATGTTTTAGAATTTCATGGCTTCCAATTGAGATTCGAGATTTACAATATATAATAGTGGAAAAGTCGTAAAATCATTGTCCAATAAGAGAAAAGTCAACCGAACCATCAATTTCATTAGATCCCATAGGAGTATATCGCGATATAAATCTAGGTATCGTATTTTTGTGTATGAATCAAGAGTCTTGAAAAAAGAGTTGGAATCGACGGTGATTGCTTGAAATCGAAAGTCAAACAAAAAGTCAAAATCGAAGTTTTATTTGTCAATTCAGTAAATTTTGACTCAAATTTTGTTCATGTTGATAACGGTTGATGTAGTTTGAATGGAGACACTTCGTATCGATTGGGTCAAAGGCAGAGTTGTAAGTTTGGAGTTTTAATTTGATTATGAAGTCGCCAGTTGAATGTGCATTTGAGGATCGAAAGTTATGGTCAAGTAATGATTTTCGACGATTAAGATTGAATTTCGATAGATAAAGCTTTACAGTATCGATAGTATTTTGAAGTTTGCGGTCGAACATAAAAGATTTGATTTAGAATCGAGTGTTGATGTATCGATTTTGGAAAATGCGATATCAAAATACGATATCGACTTTGATGGATTCATGGAGTCAAAACCGATTTCGATGGATCGGTTTGGACTTAAATACTTATGGAGTCGAATCTTATTTTGATTGATGTGTTCGAGTATTGGAAACAGAATCGGGATCGAATCGTTCTTAAAGTCAAACTCAATTTTGACTAATGTTCATAGCTACCGTTACCATCGTTCTAGTGTCGTTTCACATACGAATCATTTCAAAAAAGCTAAATAAATCAAAATGAAAACAGAAAAAGAAATCCTAACCTATTGATTGAGGTCAACGTTGAATTCGTGGAAGGTAACATGAGCGGCAGTGATTAAGATCTTTTAGGGCTTGCAGCAGTCGTGGATGCCCTAACCATGCAGGGTAGGTAGGATCATAAACAAAGAGAAGATCGGAGAGACCGAGAGATGGGAGAAAAAGCATACGTACCTGAGGTTTCTTGAGAGCAAATGTTGTATGAGGGTTGCATTTTCCCTAATTGGCTCCCAATTACCAGAATAGGTTTGGGTTATGGTATTTAGTTGAATCCCCAAGTTTAAGAATGTTGCAGTTTACAACAATCTCAGACAAAACGGAGAGATAGCTTGGAAATCTGATGAGAAGGGGGTTTTCAGCCATGTAAAGGAGACGAGGGTTTTCAGTACAAGGCGGGGGTTTTAATTTTTGGGGATTTCATTTTCCCCCTAGGATGGAATGCACGTTCTATTATTAGAGAGCCGAAGAAGAGAGAATCACAAAAGCATGAAGTGTCGATTGAGTTTTTAAGGTTCAATGGCGGTGGCAGTGGCGATGGCTTAGGGTTTACAGAGAGAAGGAGTGAATGAAGGGAGATACTGAGTAGAGAGGGTAGAAGCGGGGTTCTTCAAAATTTTAGAATTTCAACGATTTTGTTTCCCCCCTTCAAAAACGCGCGTTTAAGAAAAAAATATAAAGCGACACATTTAGAGGACGCACATTTTACGAAAGGCGCCCTCCGCATTTCTTTTTTTTCTTTTCAGACACTAATTTTAGGGCACACACAAATGCGTGTCCACTATCCTTCAAATTTTGCAAAATTGACATTATCTTTTAGGGCACACACCAATGCACGTTCTCTATTAGCGAGTGTCATTGTTTGCGCATCATTAAAGGGTTGTTTTCTAGTAGTGTTTAAGAACAAATAACTTTTAAAGTGGGCTATTGGTAAAAAAAATGTCTTCGAGAAGGTTTTCAGACGAGGACAAGTAGATCCACCAAATCAAGGTATGAGGTTGTGTGTGTTTCGAAAAATTGTTCTTGGTTATTAAGAGCAAAAGCAATTAAAAATTCTGATGGACTTTTCCATGTGAATAAATATGTTGATGTACACACATGTTCTTCAACAATTTTGCAACCTAATCATCGACAAGCAAACAAATATGTTTTAGGTGAATATCTTGTTGATATTTTGGCTGAAGATTATAGTAGAGTTTATTGGGGAAAAGATATTATTAATGATATGAATGATCAATTAAATATCAATATTTCATACCATCAGGCATGGCGTGCGAAACAATATGCATTGTTGTTGTTAACGGGTACGAAAGAGGATTCTTTTACCAAACTTCCGACTTATTTCCACAATTTGGTCAAACATAATCCGGGTATGATGACACATTAAAACAGATGGTGATGATCGTTTTGAGTTTTTGTACGTCGCACTTGGTTGTTCGGTTAGTATTTTAATATTTTTTAATTTTTTTTATTTTTATTTTGGTGTATTTGAATAGATATACAATGTATTGTAGGTACGCAATTTTGTCAATTTTTGTAAACCGGCCCTTGTAGTAAATGGAGCCCACCTAAAGAGCGAGTTTAAAGGTACAATGTTACTTGTAGTTAATAAGGACGAACAAAACCAAATATTACCGGTTGCATATGGTATATGAAAAAATGAGTGTACAGATACTTGGACATGGTTTTTTCAAAAACTACGTGATTGCATAGGCAATATGCAGGAGCTTACAATTATGTATGATAGGTCTCCATCTATAGTGACATCCGTTGCCAACATTTTTCCTCATGCTCATCACGGAATATGTGGTTTCCATTTGTATTTCAACATAGTATCTAGATTCAGGAAGAGTAACACAGTTAAAGGAATTTTTTGGGAGGCTTTTAGGGCGTTCACAGTTGATGCTTTTGCGTTGCCATGGAACTTATAAAAAAGAAAAAAGAACCAGTGTGGGAGTAATTAAAAAGTATAAATCTAGAAACTTGGTCTAGGGCACATTTTAAAGGGAACCGATACAATCTTATGTCGTCCAATAGTGCGGAGTCTATAAATGCATTATCTAGACACGCACGTACGGTGTCGATACTTATGTTGATCGATTTTTTCCGTGCAACAATGCAACAGTGGTGGTTTTAAAGACGTAACTTTGCAAGTATTAAGTTAATTTTTAGTATTATTGTTTTATTAAATGTTATTGATCTTAACTTCTTCATTTTGTCTGTTTTTTAAGCGGAAGCAACAACAACACTCATCCCTTGGGCCGATGATATTGTAAAAGAAAACAAAAAAACCTTTTAGTAAGTGGTACGTTTGTAACATCCTGTTTTGGATTGTCCGTGATTAGGCTTTGGGGGCTGCAGATCGGGCATGAGGAGGCCTCGGGGTTGTGACGAGTTGCTAGAAGCGTAGGGTATCTCGTCACCTTTCCGTAGGTATGAGGTTCATGGGAATCGAGGTTACATCGAGGAAGCGTTGGAAGTTTGAAGTTGTGGTAGGATAAGTCCCTTATTTGAGAAAGGTGGCAGCTGAGTACGTTGGGCATACATATGTGCACTCTTAGCGTACACATGAGCGTGATTTTTAAGCGGAGCCACCTAGTACGGTGGGTGTAGTAGGCATAGAGTGGAAACCCTAACTTTGGATGTGTACATATATAAAGAATGAGATGGCCTCATTCCTGGCCACCATCCTCAGTCAATAAACCCTCTAAAACCCTAACCCTTCGTTCATGAAGCTTGTGAGTGCATTTGAGAGCCTTAAGTGATTTTGTGTGATCTTAGAGTAAAGAAGGAGCCTTGGCTTGGATCCGAGCATGTCTGAGTTGGAAGCTTCATTTGAAGGTATAAAGCTCAAAGCTTTTCCCATCCTTTTTGTTTTGTGCATGATATGGTCCATTTTAGGGTTTTTGATCCCCAAAGCTTGAGGGTTTATGAGTTGTTGCACTATAGAGTTTAATATTTGTCCTTTTAAGTGTTTCTAGTGGAGAGAATCCATAAAGATGAGGTCTTGAATGTGAGAATCAACCCATGCATTAGATATGACCATTTTGAGTTAAGAGAGTAAGAGTTTTATGTGTTGTGACCAAATCAGCCATTCAAAGGCTTAAAGTCATTGACTTTATAGAGTAAGAGATATTAGGGAGTCCAGATATGAGAAATGAGCTAAGGTCTTAACGGGTTAAGAACAAGGGAGTGGACTTAATCAAAACTGAGTGTACGCCCAGCTTAAGATCCAGTACGCCCCGTGTACTGGGTTGGTGTCCCCGATCAGTTCATGCATGCGCGAGTACGCCGAGTATACCAAGAGAGGTACGCCCCGCGTAACCTCACTGTGGGCCTTTGGATAAAGTATCATTTTGGGCCTAGAGTTTGGGCTTGTTGCAATAGAGTCTTGGACCAGAGGATTATACATATATATATATATATATATATATATATATATATATATATATATATATGCTTTGGTCCCTTGTGTTGGGCTTTCCATTAGATGTGAGAGTTGGGCCTCTAGAGAGCCTATTTATTATTGGGCCTTGGTGGGCCCAATGGGTTTAGGTCACTGATGGGCTGGTTAGTGGGCTACCTTTAGACCTAATGAGTGAGAGTTTGGGCTTAGTTCCTAATTGGGATAATTGTGGGCTTGGCATAGAGTTAGAGGCCGGTGTGTAGCATCAGCATTTATAGAGGTTGTTCATCATCCGAGGTGAGTCTTCTCACGATACTTTACCATGAGTGATATTTTGTGTGATAGAGATGTCTTATGTGCTTATATGGGTATCGTGATATCCTGCATTATTTCTTTGTGATTTATGTTGTATATTATTCAGAGTTTATAGAGTTAGGACCAGAGGGTCCACAGAGTTAGGATCAGAGGGTCCATCTGAGTTGTGGGACCGGAGGGTCCCACTGAGACACATTGACCGTAGGGTCTTATTGATTTATATCCTCGAGTGGATAATGTGTTA